CCAACATGGGCCAGTGAAGCGACGTCCTCCACAACTAGACTGAAGAACAAAAGAACAGCAACTTGTCTGTTCCCCTCCCCCAATTCTCCAATAAAATATTTAAAAAAAATACTACTAGTATGATAAACATTTTTTGCATGCCTACTATGTGTCAGGCAACAGGATAGTAATTTTCAGATTGTGGTAAATTGAAAGGTAATATGATAAAAAAGGGTCTGGGGGCGATGTTACGTAACTGGTCATGGAATGCCTTTCTGAGGTGATCTATAAGCTAAGAGCTGAATAATAAAAAGCCAGCCATGGCTATCTGGCAGAAGCTTTCTAGGAAGGGGGAACAAAAATAAAGGCTCAAACCTGTTATAGCCAGCTACATAACCTTAGGTATGTTCCGTAAAATTTTTGATTCAGGTTTCTAATTTACACAATAACACCCCCTCATATAGTGAGTGAAGACTAAATGAGATTTAGGTAGGAAAGCACCACAGTCTAGCATGAAGTGCTCAGCACAATCATTATTTTAGGTTTTCCTTATTTAGATTGTAACACTACCTGGAATGGCACTGCCCACAGATAATTTGGAAAGACCTACATTGAAGAGAACTGACCAGCATCCCTTCTCCCATATCTGAAACCCGTTCTGAATTACAAAATGACAGCTCCTGTCCCTATGCAGGACAGGGCCACCTCCACACAACTGTTAACCCAGGACACAGGGCATTCTATATAGCCCTACGAATGTAAATTTTCTTATCGTCAACAAGGTCAAAAGCAAGGCCGAAGTATGAGTTCCAGTCTCTACCAGTTTTTGCTTGACCTTGAGCGGTCCCTTTTCTTCTCAAATCCTTGTTTCCCCACCCCAGCGTCCCGCACTCACCGTAGCGGGCCCAGAGCTTCGGCTGTACATCGGAGCACTCGCGGATTAGGATGGGTAGGTCGGGGTTCGCCTTCTTCAGCTCCACATAGCGTTTTTCGATGAAGTCCCTGCGGGGCCGGAGAGAGCGCCCCGCGCGTGCTGTGTGGGCGCGGGCCTCCCCAAACACCTGGGAGGTCGAGGTCGTGACCCCGGCGCCCCGAAGCCCGCCCGCCTCACCATATTGCGCCTCACCTGACGCCCTGACTGCCGGGCGAGCGCTGGCATAAGTGGATCCGAATCTCTCGTAGGCCCAGCTTGGCACTGACCCCCCGACTAGCCGCAGCAACCGCCATCTCTGCTACTATACAACCCCCTGCTCCGGTCTTCCAACCAAGTTCTCCAGAAGGACCAATCGCGGATCCTCCAGGCCCCGCGATAGGTTGGTTGAGGTAGAGGGCGGGTCAAGTTTAGCCAATGCCATAAAAGCATTGTAAGGCCCGTCGGTTTCCTCCAATTTCGCGTCAGATGGGCGGGTTCCGAAAGGCTGAGGAACGCAAGGCACTGTGGGTTGGTTTCGGAGGTGCATTGTGGGGAAAAGGTTGTCGCTGCTGTGTTGTTGTTGGCGTGTTGGTCCTTGCTGGCGTTGAAACACAGCGGACGAAATGCCGGAACGAGATAGTAAGTCTCAGGTCATCTCTTTCTACCCTGCGGGACTAGGGACACTTGGCGCGTTATTTTGGCCTCAGACCTTAAGCCAAGGTGGAGAAGGGCCCACAGTGACGCTTGGAGCCTGGAGAAGCCGTTGGGCCCCGAGTGAGGCCAGTCTTTCCCTAATCCTCGTCTTTGCCCCAAGTGACGACAGTTGGGGTTTATCTGTGAACTTTACAACTCTCCCCACCCTCCA